TAATTTTTTTGTCAGCGCCACCCACGCTCTTTTCTCTCTCACGCTTATGCCCACACGCTGTGGTTTGAGATTCAACAACATACAGCACCATTGACGATGCAGTCAAAACATATATGTCTGTTTTGGGCAAACTTCTGCTTCCCGCTCGTGCCCCTATTCAATGGAAACCTACCTACTAGTGCCTACTGGTAGCATCATACATATGTCATTGTGCCTTGGATATATAGAACCGAATTTTTTGTAGCACTCAATGAAGAAAACCATTATTTCTAAGTTACTTGATTAACAGATCGAGGTAGTTCAAAAATTACTATTTACTTTTTTGTATACTATATGTGAATTGAAGGGCAGTATTATAGCAAAATACTATCGGGCCAAAGTACAACTAATGGTACAAGTCAAGGAGGCGAAAGAATATGGCTTTTTGGCAAACCATTCTCGAAACATTTATCAAAGAAAATGCATTCTAAAGCGATGAAAAAAACAAGTAATTGAGTATAGCACACCGACCCAGTTTTTCCGATTTGTGCCTTGATTGATACTCTTTTTGGTTCTTGTCATGCTCTAGTTTGGCCCAACATGTTAGTTTTGTTCCCCCCATCATTTTCTTGACCATTCCTATGGCTTTTATAGAGCAATTATAACAAACCTTTCCAAACTATCCTTAGAACAAGAAATTTAATAAGTACGCCTTCAAGTTAGAAAGTCATAAACGCCATCCTAGCTATCTTGAATAACTTTTTGTATATACACCAAATATTTCACGAATTGGAACATGTGTTTGGATTTTTATAGACCATCACAATAATGCTTAAAACTATAGGTAAATTACGACAACATCTTTGAAGTATTGTAAAATTACATAGATTATCCAAAAGTTTGAAGAATTAACAAATGCCCCCCTCTATGGTGAAGAAAATATACAAAAAACTTGTTTTGTATCTAAAATTTCCTTAATTACTACTTTAAAAAGATAATTAGATTAATAACTTCAAAACATTAAAGAAAGAATAAAAAAATGAGATGTAATTTTTTTGATACATGAAAAATACTAATTTCTCTATTAGATTACGCTAATTCTTGATTTGACAAGAGGACATTATCTTATGATAACTTTTTTTTAAATGAAATTTTCTATTCATAAAAAATACACTAGGAGATTACTTTAATATAGAGTATGAATTTATAACAAATACATAAAACAGATTAGGATAACATATATCGAATACAAATAGACTCAAATGTTGAACTAAACATTGCTTCGATTCGAATCTGAAAATTGTGTAATGTGCAACAAATAATTTAACAAATCCATCTAGTCACATCATCTAGAGAGAAATATTTTTACCATAGATTCTATTTTTTTTTTTCACAAACCATAAATGGTTGCATTCCATGCCAATCTGGTAATAATAGATTGATTTTTTTTTTTTTTTTACAAATGCTTTATTGCCCATTGTAACTCTATACTCCAGCTAACAATTACTCTATGAAATCCACATTTAAGAAGAATATCATTTCACACAATCTTAGAATAGGAACATTCAAAAAATAAACGATTCGATCCTTATCGGTAATTTCACACAAAATACAACCAATTTTGATATTTCTTCTCCTTTGAATCGTATGTCCGTTTGAATCTGTTCATATGTAGTGGACAAACGATTCAAAATTGCAAGTCAAGAGATAAAGTTATGTCTTGAGATGCTAAACAATCCTCAAACAACCTTATGCCACACCATTCTAGTACATTTATTAATTTCCGACCAGCTTCGAAGCGTTTTTAGTTGTGAATTCACTGTTTCTTTTCACAAAAGTTTAGAATTTTAACCTTCATGACTAAAATAGTTACACAAAGTGTTTAGTTAATTGGTGTGGTAGTACAAGAGTATTATTACTCATCATGTTTGTAACATATTACAATAATACAGTAGTTGATTTGTTTCACATGGAGTAATAGATTTTTGTAATAATTTCTAAAATGGGACTAAGTAAGTTACCATGCATGGACGCAATTAATGGGCATATGGACTCATTGAAGCTTGAAACATGGAGCTTCCTTAACTTGTGTTGCAAGGGACTTAATTTCCGGGGAGCAAGAGTATTGAACTGCAATGAAAATCAAATTACCAAGATCAGAAATGATGTCATCATTTCAATTTCATAGCCAAGATTTGGGTATATTCCATGACCATGGAGCATGCACGTGCGTATGAGTTGGATGCCTTAACGCCGTGACAAAAACCAACGGTGCCTGACGTCTTATTATAAATTCTGCTGACAGGATATCCAGCTGATTAATTGCACTACCCACTGAATTTAATTCCATTCCCTACAATGATGGAACTTTTGAACTCCAAATTATTAGTAGATAGAATTATGATACATATATATATATGTATACATTTTCAAAATATGTAAGTACGTTGACATGCAATATTTTCTTTCTAACTAATCAATTCCAAATATATATATGTTTAACTTTATTTTGCTTTGAGAAATGCTATGTTGCAAGAAAAAACAACAATATTAGACTACAAGATAACATTCTGATACTAATTTTCATATTATTCCAGGTTTAGACCCATTTCCTTGATAAGATTAGACAAACATTGTTCACCCATTAATTATTCTTGCTGCTCCAATTCAACTATATTAATTATTGGATAGTACTAAATATATATATATTTTACTAAGATTGTTTTACTACATGAAGAAACATGATGCAATTCATTAGTTAATACTTCATATAATTGTCAGCGCATATATAAATAGAATAAGATTCACATTTAATGATTTGAAATTTTTTTTATGACAAAAAAATATCACATCACTTAGTAAAAAAAATTGTTAAAAAATGAAGTATCCTAGCATTATCCTTAATTATTTGAATTTAATTCTAATAAAAATTAATGATTTGTCTTTAACAAAAGTAGAGGGAAAACGTTAAACAATATATTTTGGCACAAAAATTATGTAGAATATATATATAATTACATGTATAAAATTTAGTAATTGCAAGGTTTTACCGAGTACACTCTCAACTCTCAAGATAGAGCTGACCATAGCTTAATTTAAACTCACTCATTTATAATTAATTTTAAAAATAAAATTTAATTTAATTTAATTTATCAGCTGATTGAGCTAAAATTTAGCTTGATAATCAAGATTGGAGCAAAGTGAAGTCATTAATTTGCATGCATTCAGCACTCCTAATTCTCACTATGCATGCGATGCTAATATATATGTTGCAATCGATTGAAACAATAGAATCCGTGTTGATGATGATGATGATGATGATAAGGAGGAGAGTGAAGGAGCTGGACATCCCATGATCGGCAATTATGTGGACCCCAAACAACGGCATACACATCAACATCAATGCATTCGCATTCCTAAAAATCTCGAGTCCCCCTTAAGACACGCCCTGACTGCCCCCCTGACCCATATTGTTCCTGTAGGTCCACCCCAATTTCCCATGACCCACCCACCACCATGCACCACCCGGCTCCTCAACTGGAATAACCCCCCTGTCCTTCCACAAAATTACTAAAAATTGCCACTTCTGTAAACAGTTAAAAACCATTAATTAGAAGTGTAACGCATTGTCTCTAGCTAGGAATCCTCAGCCCATTATATCATTGCAAACCTGAGAAATTACATTTTACTAACGTTATAACATATGAAACTCTTACGATCAGTTTTAGTTTTGTTATCTTCTTTGTCATTTTCCAATCTAAATATATAACGCTTAATTTCTTATTCTGGTTAAAAAGTTTTCACTTTTTGCTTTTTCCTAGCAGTACTTATCTAATTTGCAAATAAGTCAAAAACAAACATTTTTTTCAGTTTAATTTACTCATGTATTTCCATCTCACATAAGAAGTAGGATTAATTCTATTGGGAGCAAAAAACGATAAAATTTAATTTGATCCCTATAAATATAATTTTAAAATTCAAAACCTTTATAATTTTTATTTATCTAAAAATCAATTCGTTTGCTATTGCATTAGTAATGTATTGATAAAACTATGCCAACAACTTGTCAATAAAACTAACATCTTTAATCTATACAGTATAAAAAAGATCAGTAATTCCTTCCTTAAGTTTCTCTTAAATGAAGCTTCAAAGGTTTAAAGGCCATGCAAATAACAGGCTGATAATCCACATATATATATATATATATATATATATATATATATATATATATGTGGAAACAAGATGGAAGCTAGAGAGGAGAAAAATTGTAGAAAGAAGGGTTTGAAGTACAAATTTGAGGGACGACAAAATGAACTGAGACAACCGGCTTTTTAAGACATTTTGAGGGAGGAAAAAAGAGAAAACATGGGGGGCGTAGTTGGGACCCAATAGTGTGCGAGGGACAAAAGAGTGAGAAAAAAGTGGGACCCACACACCGCCCATGCGCACGCTGTCTTACCAAAACTAAACCCATCTATCCTCGACCCGATGGGATTAACCCTTGACCTAACCCTAACCCAACAGCACGCGATCCATCTATACCCAAAAACCAAAACGCAGGAAGAAGACCTTCCTCTTTTCTCTCTCTTTCTCTTTCTTCCTTGGCTATCTTAGCCTTTTTTGCTGTTCATTTTCTCCCAAACCTTTAACCATCAGCTTTCTTTGTCTTCATAGGATAGGAGCGAGCTAGACACTTGAAATTATAACCTAAAAAAAAAAAAAAACGCCACTCACATGAGGGTGATAGAGAGGGGAAAAAAAGATGGGCTTGGTTCAGTTATATGTTTCTGTTGAAATTTTGGTGGCTGATGCTTAAAAGACCATCTGTTTTCATCATTTGGTGAAGGTTAGTGTTGGATTTGATCCATTTACAGAACATCTAAAGAAAAAAGAAAAAGAAGCAAAGGGACAAATCAAGAACCACTTAAGAATCTCTCTACTACTATCTCTCAATTTTTTGGGCTAGTTTTTGTATGTTTCAGCTAATATAATTAGCTTTGATTTCAAGATACCAAAAAGAAATGGATCCAGTTGCAGCTCATGGGCGTCCTCTTCCTCCTCCTTTCCACACAAGAGATTTTCATCTACATCAATTTCAACACCACCAACAGCAGAATTCTGAAGATGAACAAAGCGGCAACGGTAACTTAAACCGTGGTCAAAAGCGAGACCACGATGAAATCACCACTAATAACAACGCAGCTGAAGGCAAAGAATTAGTCCCTTCAAGTGGTGGAGAAGGAGAAATCACAAGAAGACCAAGAGGTAGACCTGCTGGGTCTAAAAACAAGCCTAAACCACCGATCATAATTACAAGAGATAGCGCAAATGCTCTTCGATCCCATGTCATGGAAATCGCTGCCGGTAGCGATATCATGGAGAGTGTATCAACTTTTGCAAGAAGGAGGCAAAGAGGTGTATGCATTTTGAGTGGAACCGGAACCGTAACAAATGTAACACTTAAGCAACCAGCTTCTCCGGGAGCGGTGGTTACTTTACATGGAAGATTTGAGATTTTATCGCTTTCAGGTTCGTTCTTGCCACCTCCAGCTCCACCAGCTGCATCAGGATTGACAATTTATTTAGCTGGTGGTCAAGGCCAAGTTGTTGGAGGAAGTGTAGTAGGCCCACTTCTAGCATCTGGACCGGTGGTGGTTATGGCTGCTTCTTTTGGTAATGCGGCTTATGAGAGGCTGCCTTTGGAGGAGGACGAGTCACAAACACCGATGCCCGGAAGTGGACCTTTAGGGTCACCAGGAGTTAATAATATTGGGCAACAACAACAGAGTCAGCAACAACAACAGCTAATGCAAGATCCGAACACATCTCTCTTTCAAGGATTGCCACAGAATCTACTAAATTCAGTGCAACTTCCAGCTGACGCCTACTGGGGCACAGGCGGCCGCCCTCCTTATTAGTAACAAAACGAGAAACTTGTGGTTTAGTTTCTCTTTCTTTTTACTCTTGTTTCCTTAATTAACTTCTAAATCATCAATCTTCGTTCTTCTTCTTGCTTTAAAACTTAGGTATCTTTCTAAGATGTTGTTCATCGTGGTGTTCAGCTGCCTTTGATAGAAGAAGGATGTACAAATTTATGAGTTTTTTTTTTTTTTTTTTTTTTTGTGGGTTTGGTGTTTATCAGATTAGTAGCTCTTTGATTTAGCTTGAAGACGAAGCAGCATATCATCAGGATCTATGGCAGTGCAATTATCTCTAGTTCCCTTTCCTTTTCAGTTGCAGTACTTCTGATAACTTGCCTGATAATTAATCTTCAGTATTCTTTGCAAAAGGAGGCAACAAAAAAACTGCGCAAGTTTTTTAATTTTTCTTCTTCTTTTGTTTATCTTTGTGTGCCAACTAAGAGTTTGAGAGGTGCTGTACTTATATTGATCCAAACAAACTTATCCATTAATTCTTTTAGAAATAAAATTGTAGTAAATTAACTTTTTGATTCCTAGATAGTAGTGAATTAATTTTACATTTTCACGCCTGAAACTTTATTTTATTTTCTTAATTTGCATACACATAAAATTGCATACAACAATATATAACAATTATTTATTTTTCTCTTTGCATTGATTTCAACAGAATCCCTCCTTTGCAATATTGTCATTCGTTTATCACATTTATCCAAACTGCGAGATGGTTCATTTTTAAGTTAGGGACAGTTTCAAATTTGGTGGGGGAAGTGGCAAATCAATATCAGTACTGCACTTGAAGAAAGTAAGGTGACAGGAAGTTATGGGCTTAAGATGATATATTGTTTGTTTGTTTTTTTGCTTTTTCATTTCTGACTGGTTAGGGTTTTTATCGAACATTATGGAAGCACTGGCAGAGAGATGAACATTGGGTACTGGGTTACACGTGCACTGCACTGTAAAAGCTCCTTTTCGAGGCAGCATTGATGATACATATAAAACTTCCATGTAAAGGCAGGACAAACAGACCTCAAGCGTTAAAAAAGTCTCTCTCTCTCTCTCTCCGTCTCTAAAACTGTCACTGCAAAGGGTAGGGATGAATCAAGATGCAAGGTAAGAATTATCAAATAAAAAAAAATTTCTGAATTCTTGGTCATTTAACATATACCCCTAGAAACCCTATATACACACACTTGGTATATTGAAACCCTAGATTTTGTTCATAACTTCTTTGCACTGGAAAAACCAACACTGAATCGTTCCTTTTATCGGTTCTTTCGTTTTTATATCTTACAGTCTGCCAATTAGAATTAATTCTTCCAGGAGCCAGCGGAGAATTTGATTTCATTTACCTTCTTCACTATATATATTCTTAGTTATCCATTTGTTTATCTTCTTTTTGGATAAATAATATTAATTCTCAGCTAATCATTAATTACGTACACTAATTTTTTTCTTATATTGAATTTAGCCATTTAATTATTTTGATGCTTCATTAATTAAGCCAAAATTTTGTTGATAAAGCTTAGCTATATGCAGTTATATATATATATATATATATATATATATATATATATATATATATATATATCCTCTTCTTCTCGTTAATTAGATCTGACCTAGCTACCGATGGTGTTCTATTTTGTGTGTGGTGCATTTTTCTTTTCAAGAATTTTGTCAATATTGTCTTTTGTAATTTAGATTTTAATTTCTGAATTATTTTTTAAAGTGCAAGGAAATTTCTTCATTGATTTTTGACGATCTAATTCCTTCTTTTTAATTATTATACAGGATAGAAATTGTATCTTTTAAAAATTTTATTTTACAAATTTAAAAGAATAATCACAATTGATTATATATATATACACACCCAAACCTCTATATCTATACCTTTATCCATGTCCGTGTGTGTGTTTATCCCTGTCTTGCTATGCTATTTTATTTTGTAATTGGATTGGCTAGCTAGTGCTTTAATTATGTGTTTGGAGCATTTCCTAAATCTTCTTATCACTAAATATATTTTAATTACAAACTTAGTTTGTACAAGGTTTAAATTGAGAAAATATATATATAATATGTCACCTAGATTTTGTACCACTTGGAGGAGATTATTATTATTTTTGTTGTTATTAATTAGTAGGTGGACCATGCTGTTGTACTTTGCAAAATTGCCATTCTGGTTCTTCATGATTAACACATCTTGATTCTTTGAACTACACACTTCAATGATTAAATCTATCTACATGTATACTCCTATAATGTTTGCCTTTTGCTTTCTTTTCCGCTACCTATCTCTTGAAAGAAGTTCAAAACTGACGACTTTATTCCATGGCGCACACACCCCACCTCTCAGGTATGCTTGCACTACATAAAACTTTTTAACTAAAACCTGGCTTTTCTTCTCTTCTTTCGTATATGGACCCTTTCTGATTAGATGTTTTTATGTAATACTTCCCTCCTTGGAATTTGATTGTAGTTGAGTGCTTGGGAACTTGTCCCACCGTTGTCTACAAAACTTTTGCTCTTTTAATAGGATTTGCAGTATGGACACTTTCTGATTTAGTTTTTTTTTTTAAAAAAAAAACTATGTATAATTGTCACGTTGTGCATATTGCTTAACTTCTATTTATCTGCATCATTCATTTGGTTCTTCTGTTTAATCCTCCGTTTTCAGATTCCTTATAGAAATCAGGACCCCTTTACCTATCTCACACTACTGCTTAATATTTCCGTTAATTTCACCCATTTCTGAGTTGTTCAATCAATAACTAGTAATGTGAGTAGTTATCTTGCGAGTGCATAGTTTTAAGGTCATGGCCGTTTAATTGAAACAATTTTTGCAATGATCGACCAAGAAATTATTGAATGGAACTAATATTATATGCGTGAGTGGACAAAACCAATCACATCACAATTAGAATCTACCACAATAATCGATAATAATGAAAGGAAGCTCCATACCAATTAATCATCGAACAATTTTGATCCATGTAATAATTTTCATATCAAATGAATATATAAATTTTAAGAAACCATTTATGAAAAGTGTTTTTCTTTTGATAGATGTCAAGTTTGTGGGGTTATTTTTAACAAAATTCGCAATTGAAAGCCACATTTTTATATGTCATCGAAGAAGCAAGTTCCCAATAGATATTTAGTCTATTGGTAATGAAAGCAAAAAGATTGTGGATTTAAATCCTCTTTTAGAATATTTAAGCTAAAAAATTATTCAATTCTAAATCAGAGTAATGAGTCAGAATCCTATAAAAAAACGCAAAGCTGCTATGTCTTTGGTTAAATAATAGTGCGCAATGAAAGAATCAAAGACAGGTCCAGTTACCTTAAAGTTGTGTAACTATATGTAAATCCCTATGCAAATGGGTGTCCTGACGTCTTATGAAAACTACGAACATGTTCTTCTAATTTTAAATCAGCTTTATTCCTAGTATGTCCTATTGATTTAAATTAAACTTAATTCCTTGCTTTGTAACAAGCTGTCAAATCATAGAGTGAGGGTTCTTCAGGGCATTCCTTAATATAATAATTTATTAAATTCTTTTCTTAACAATGGTTTGATCCTAAAGGAATTAGAATACATCGCAATCAGTTCTATTCTCCTTTTCTTTTCTTTTCATTTTTAATTGGAAAGATGTCGTTTTCTATATAATTGATTCTTCAATTTATTTAGTTTTAACTATAGGGGTATGATCGAGTCGGAATTTACACATTGAAAATCGCTTTTTAATCAGAACAGATTAGTCGTACTCAAATTTATATATTTATAAGAAATTATTTTCTCCAAACGCTTCTCTTAAGTTTTGAAACCTAGATGATAATATACTTATACGTAATTTAGAAGGAAAACCACTTATCATTCCAGCTAAACCTCCAAGAGGATTAATTATGCTATAACAACACGCGCGGGGAGAAATGGACATTTTCTTCTTCTTCTTTTCCCTTCTTGATTCATTGGGATTGTCAATGGTTGTTCATTAGTTTGTTCGTTTAACAATTTAGACTGGATATAAAAATTAAAAAAAAAAAAAAATGTTGCAAACAATAGCATTTCAGGCAATCATGACATAAATCACACATATATGCCCATGAAAGCTTAATCAGAAAGAAGCATTCTATAAAACCCAATTATTAGCTTGGGTTAGAGGGTTAACCAATCCTTTAGGTTCGTGAATTGTGATCAGCGATCCTTCATTGGGGTGCCTGGGCTGGTGGCTACTAGCACTGACTACGTACCGACCCAGGCAAGAGAGAGTCAGGAGATCATCAGCTCGGATCGGGTAAATTTTGCGATTTAGGCTCTCGGTCAGCCCAACGAGAAAAGGAGGGTGTGTTTTTGGAAAGGCAGGCCTGCAAACTAAATGCTCTTTGACTGGTCCGTGGGAAGGATTGCGAAAAATTGAAAGCCCCAAAGAGGCTTTATTTTGACCGGCAAATGTGTGGTTGACTAGTGGTGGGATTTCCATTTTTCAAAATTATATTAGAGAGAACTTCTCATACATGAAAAACCTAAAAGATAAAAGGACGTCTTTGTTTTATCTGATTGATAAATTCATTTACCTTGCCCTTGTGTAAGGTCCTAGATTGATTCCCACTTCCCCCTCTTCTTGGAGAATCTTGCCCTTTCCTTTGTAGCCAAGAAATGACGGTTAAATATAAAAAGATTGAATTTCACCCACCAAGACGCAATGGCAGATAATCGCAGATTATATATGAAGACCGACAAAGAATTAAGGATATTTATTTTCATGTCTTGACCGGTGAAATTCACTAAAGTTTTGTGTTATTTTCGGATTATCCATTTTATTATTATCTTCAATTTTTATAAAATAAAGAATTTCATTAACCTCAGTGGATCAGGTTAATAATTAAGCAGTTGTTCTAGTTCTTTGGCTACCGAAATTCAAATCTCAACTTATACCATAAAGAATAAAATTTAAAATTCTCATAATTCGTTTGGTATGAATGACTCAACTTTGACAGGACAAAAGGTCAACTTGATTCGGATTTCAAGCACTGCCTAACCAAGAAACCAGAGAGACTATAATTAACATTGGCATATGATGCCCTCTTTTTCTGTTCACATCTCCCTCCTCTGTGGGTAGGTATTGCCCCTTTCTACATCATTTTTAACAATTTCTTTATTATTTATCGGCGATTTCTGCATCAACTCAAGATAATTGCTTCCTACCAAAATTGATTAGAACCTGCTTGAAGACAATGATTTCAAAGTGGAAAAACATTAGTCATGCGAAGCAGTCTCTAGAAATAAGGATCTACAGTCTTCGCCATACCAAAGCTGCACAATGAAGATCTTCATTGCCAATAAATAAAGTGAATTTACACAAGCTGAAGTTTGGCCGGGGTCCCCTATCCTAGGGACTTCAACTACAGCTACAAATACATTTTTTTTTTTCCATAATGGCTACAAATCTATTCTTATGTCAGAACTACCTTTCACTTCTTTTCCAGCCATCCAGCTACAAATATTAATACAATAGCACAACAAGAACAATTATAATGCCCAGTCTCGCTTCTTTACACAAAAATTGCGAGAGGATTCCAATTGATCAAGTGACTATTTGGCGCAAAGAATGAAGCATGTATCTTGACCAATCTATACAGCAACTGGATAACGAGCTTGGTCCACAGAAACAGATACGAGAAACAATACATGTGGTCAGCACTCTATCCGTAACCGCCGCATTTCAGACCTGAAGGTGGAACTTGAATTCAAAGTCCGACGAGCAAGGGTTCTTATGTCCTCTCGAGAACAATCTCGAGAGATACGAACTAGCTCCCAAAGTGCACCTCCACTGATCATTTCTTTTGCATTTACTTCTGAAATGTAAGAAGTTTAGCCTTTCAGGCAACATGTCAAAGGGAGTTTTTCTTGATGGAAGTAGAGGAAGTGGCACTTACCTTGCTGTGCCAAGTGGCATAGCGCAAGCTCGATGTGGCGTCTGATTGGTGCAGCTTCATTATTAGCATTTTGTACAATCCATGGAAGTGCGCCGTCTTCTATAAGAAGAGATCTGCCGCTTTTTAATCCTATGGCAGGTCAACATAATGTTAATATTAAAAGTATAGATTTGTACACATCTTCCCATACAAATATGTTCATAACAGTAGTCTGCACTAACAGGCAAATTTTCAGCCAGTGTGCTATTGGACTACATGGCACGTTATCTACAGGTAGCTATATTCTTGACAGAAGAATCCAGTCAGAAAGGGAGAACTGAGATCATTTAATAGCATCAGCTTAACAAATTTGAAGGTAAAATAGTTATCTCCACAACCCTATCACTTCCTCGGGTGCCGCCCGCAACCAACAAAATACACCCATATGAACAATATCCAAGAAAAGCAGCAAGCAGATATTTCAACCTAAAATCAAACATATACCAGAAAATATTTTCCCAAGTCACTAATGAATATATAAACTTCCCCTAATGATGAATGATAAGTAACCATTTTCTGATTTGACAGACTAATACACATTGAATGTAATATCAATTGCCAACATGGTCCAGATATAGCTTGATTGCTGGCTAAATTTCATAGTCAAGATCATATGAGACTGAGAACTAACCTTGAGTAGATGCTCGGGACTCACATTTCGCAAAGTTCGCAATCCCACGAGCAACTTGGGAAAGAACATCAGTATGCCCACATCTCACCATTCCTAGCAAAGCCCTTATCCCACCTTCAGATCTCAGCTTCATCTGTAGCTTATCTGTGGGACAAAAGGAATATAGGATATGAATAAAGCACAATAAGTTGATATGACATCCAGTATTTAAGATATTTAAAGCATACAATTTTCATTTGAGTCTTGAATCACATGGAGGTGGAAAAACAGCAGCAGAAAATGTATTTCTCCCAATGGCATCTTTTAATACAGCATATTTCGCTGAAGCAAAGCTAAAGAATGCGTATACGGCCTTCGGAAATTATTAAATTAACTTTTCTTTTATGAGCGTACTACAATTTTTATTGAAGTTAAATTGACAAAGGTGAGACTCAAACCCGAGACCTCACCAGTCACCGCTCTTGCTCATGCAAGAGTACCACTAACTAGAAGCTCATTGTTAAAGTATTAAATCAACTATTCATAAAGAATTGATAATGACATGATGTTAGAAATACTCCTTTACTGAAATGAGTTGTAGATTTTCATTCTTGCATTCCTGTCTTGACAAAGGTCTAGTAATGATATAGGACAGCTTACGGGGCTGTTCTGGATCTGAGTTTAGAGGCTGTTTATGTCTGTATTGATGTGGATTTCTGCTGGGAATTATAGAACTATTAGAGTCACACTAATAGGGTTTTGAGTCACACCTTGAGAATAGAAAAACCTAAGCTTCATACCTAGGGTTCTTTTCTAATCGTCCAAATCCATCAAGGACTTAGATTCCTAAATAAGAAAATAACGAGTCTATGTAGAGTAGGAAAAACCTAATAAACCTAATTACTCCATAGGACTAATAAAATACTAACTAGAAAATAAAATCTAGACTTAGACAATTTCCAGATTTCCAACAAATTACAGAAATACCCTTGTCTATAAAAGATACAAGCTTTGCTTCCTTTGTCGTTCACATCAAGTAATCTTTTCCATTCTTCTATTTTATATCTAATTGAACCTTCTTATAAAGCTAATTTACATGAATGACCAAAAACATATGACAAGAAAAAAAAATGATAGCATAATGCAGCAGAACTAGCAGTATACCATTTCCACACAGATTTGCAATAGCTCCAGCAACCATCCGAAGAGTCTGAGGATCCTCAGCATTAGCTGCTGTCAAAGATAACAAACTAATCCCCCTTGAACCATGATTAATTCTTGATTAGCTTCTGGAAGAAAGGCAACAATACACAACCTATATATTTAGGAGCTGATTGGAGTTGGAACCATTAAGCAATACTTAGTGAAGACGACAAGAGAAAAGTATGAGTGACAATTACCATTCATTGCAAGATTGGCAATTGCACCTGCTGCTACTCTGCGAATAGTTTCATCCTCAAAGCATTTAAGAAGCATCAGCAAGGAAGTAAGACCACCAGACTCAACAATCCTTTCTTGATTTGCTTCTGCATGATATACAAGGTGAAAACACAAATAATTTGCACGAAATAAAAAAAGGATAACAAGGTACTGTAGTTTGAACCTAGTATCTACCACTTCATTAATACAATAACTGAGTACTGACCTTCAGCTGCTAGATTAGCTACCACTTTTACAGCGTGTATTCGTACATTGGCATCTTCTGACTCAAGCAATGATAAAATCTTTTGCAATCCAACTGTTAAATTCATTCATCATAAACTAAAATAAACACATGGACGAAAAATGGTTTATGATTTTGTGCAAACATTTTATTACCATGTTCATAAAGGGGGGCAATCGGAGCCTTCTGTCCATTCACAGTCTCTTTAAACTGTGAATGCCTAACTTGCGACATAAATGAATCTACGCCACTGAAACCATTTGCAGATCCACTTCTTTCAAAAGACCCTTTTGCCTATAAACACAGAATCATAACCAGGATAAAGTTACAGATAATATATGATTGTTTTGACTGTGATCGACAAAGGCTGAGGAGAGACAACAGGACAAGGATGTTGCATCTTATAACCGTTATAGTTAATAATCTAATTTGTGAATTAAAAGCATATTTAAAAATTCAAACACATCCCTTTGAATTAAGAGTAATGACCATGGTTTAAACAATTATACACACAAAAAAAGAAAACTGCTTAACATTTCTAAATTGAATACCTGATCAGCTACAAAAGTCAATTGCAATAACTGACTTTGTAGGACTGCAAATTCTTCTTCCAGTTTCTTTTTATTATAAGCCTCATCCTCCAAGATCTTGTGAAGCCTTATAATCTCTGTATCTCCACCAGCCTAGGGCATGAAAAATAATCCCTTGTGCATAAATTATCATTAACTTTATTCTTCTGTTTTTTTTTTTTATTGGGCAGGGATTGACAATGGAGGGTTTGGGAAAGAGGAAGAGAGGAAAGGTAATACAAAGCTTAATTCATACCCCAGACAGCTCAAATTGGCTCTTAAGTTTGTTGACCTCATCTTCAGCAGCCTTTCTTAGCTGAATTTCATTCTGAAGTAACTTTCTGAGCTCAGAAACTTCCTCAGAAACAGGGCCCAGCTCCTGAGAAATAGGATGGAAACAGGAGAAAAGGCTGGGGTCAAATTGAAAATATTTGGCAAATCAATTGTTAGAAGGCAAGATAAAATGAATTGACAAGGGTCAAGATATAACAGCAACACATTCATTTTAACACAGTGCCACAAGTAAGTCCATTTTAGCCCCAGGAGATTCTGAGCTGTGCTATAAATGCATCATCATAATTAGCAGAGGCATGCCCGTCCCATAACCAAAATCACTTTTGTCAAAGGGCAAGATTTTGTACACCAGTTGGATGTAATATAAAGCTTGAGAGAGGATTGAGTCGTACTGGAATTCATATATTTCAATATCTGAAGTCAATAAGCATCCTACTGCTAAACATCAAGATCATAATACTCGATTCTCAACAGCAACAAGGGCCACAGAAAGAGTACCTCTCCATTGCAACTACCATTGACGAAGCCATCATAGTCATGCCTTTGCTGATTTGCTACCAATTTTTCCTCTAGCTCCTTGACAGATTCCATGTATTCCATCTGACACTTTAGCCTCTCCTTCTACAAACAGCAACAGGAAACTTAAATGTGTGGAAGGAACAGATTATAGTAATCAAAACAATACGCCTCCAAGTTAAAATGTGGTAGGGAATGAAAGGAGTAAACGGCCAAGAAGAAATTCCTTTCTAAAGCATTTATAGTCTCTGAACTTTCATTTCTCTTGTTTTTCCCAAGATCTAAACAAACACTAAACCCTGAATGACAGTGTAAGATAAACTGTATGACAAAAACCACACAAGTGCCATCTAAAACCATTGCAGCCTTGGCTCTTTCCTCATTTTGTACCAAAAGAACAAGCACACGGAGAGAAGTGTTTGAACATAGCGCTAGTGTTTGCAAGTACAAAAGGCTCTACTTTACAGAAAATAATCAATAACTGAACTGACCTCTAAGGCTTCTGCAAAGTTCCTTTCCACCTCAGCAATATGAATTTGTGCGTCTTGATTTATTCTTTCAACTTCATTGTCAAAGGCTTTCTGCTGCCTTTCGTTTTCTGCAATAAGCTTGTCCACTTGTATTTCAAGCTTTCTAGATAAGCTTTTGTAATCAAACTCTTCCTTTATTTTCAACATATTCTCCACCTTCATTGCCTAAAGACAGATGAAGTATAATTTACAATCAGTTGGTTGTCTATGCTACATGCAATGTCTAACATATACTTCAGCATTGCCATCATAAATACACTAAGCATAGAGTTACAAACAGAATGAAGTCATGCCGTAAAAAGGTTGAAATACAAATTTCACAGCAGCACTTGGACTTTGTACATTATAACAAAGAAAGAAAGAAAAATAAGTTTGATGGCAGGTGCTGCAAAAATTAAAGACATAACCCATGGATCAACAGTGCTCACCCTTTGTCCAAACAATATAGTACTTGAAGTCTCTCCCCGATGGCGTGGTGATGGACCAATGGTCACTATTAATGAAGTTCTTGCTGTGCCTGCGGTGGGATGACATGTGACCAAAATATGAGTTGGTATTTTTTGCAGAAAAATCTGGAATAAGAAGCCAGTTTATTCGTGAAAGAAAAATGTTCTATGAATGGTAAATTAGTAGATTAGTTATTCCTCGCAAGAAACAACAAGGTTTGTTAATGATTCAATTAGTTATTCCTCTCAAGAAACAACAAGGTTTGTTAATGATTCAAATAATCTGTAATTTGGATCACCAATAGCATCTAATGAACTGTTCCAATCAGATCATATCAAAGCCTAAAAAAAATTTGATTAACATGAATAAAAAAGGCAACTCACCTCCAAATGAATCTTTAAGCAACCTCGTAAGTTTTGAATCACGAATAGGAACATGAGAACTATTTTCAGCCAGTGCATTTATGCACTTCCCTAATGCACTGAGTGAGAGATTAATAGACTTAGCTTCCTCCAGCATATGTCCCTCACTTCCTGCCAAATGAAGAAATAGCATATGTTAAGTGACTGCAAACTCATGAAACATGAGAAGCAGGTTTGAGGAAGCCATGATTGTTAGAAACCCCACTCCACCTCGTTTATCTCCACACTTATAGTAAAGAGGATATGAAGAAAGAGAAACGTGTTTTGACACACACCTGACTTGTGAACTCGTTCTGAACCTGCCAGATCTACCAAAACCAGCTTGCTTTTCCGAACAATAGGTTTTGAAGGTTTGACAAAGTGAGATGAATTATCAATTTCACTTGAAACAGCATCTTCTCGTCCAGTAAATGACCTCCTAACATGAACCTGCACTAACAGATGCAAGCATACATCAAACAGAAAACTAAAGAAAAACTGAAATCAAAATTAAAGAAGAATAATTCACCATTAGAATAGCATGACTACGAGAAGATTCAGTATTCAACTTTGTATTTGCAGCAATTCTATGAGCTTCCCCTAATCTTAGCAGCTCCAGAATACTGTGTTGGTCCCTGATTTCCACAACAGTTGCCCCAGGTAGTGAAACATCACCAGTTTTTGGATCTTCCACAATGGAAATATTATCATTTGCTGGAACAAGAAGATCCTGGACAGCCTCCATATAAAGCTATACATATTTGTAAAGAACAAGAATGTTAGGTAACTTATGTACGCACAGACTGTGACTGAACAAGATTAAATAGAACATGGTGAACTTAAGAAGTAGGGGTGTTCATTCGGTTTTTTGGTTCAGTTTCGAAATATTTTGGTCATTTTTCGGCTAACCAAATTTTCAAAAAGAAAACTGAAACCAAACCGAAATGTTATTCGGTATTTTGGTTTAAAAACCAAAATTTCGGTTTCGGTTGTCTATTATTCGGTTTTTATCCCCTTTTTTTTTTTTTGGAAAAATCTGTAAGAAAAAAAAGTCATGTTGAACTATTAATATTTGGTACAAAATCTCATGTTTTGTTGATGATCATAGACTTTTCGTCCAAATAGCTATGGTCCTATGGTTGGACATTTGGTATTTGAACGTATTTGCAAAATCAAGTTTGGAATATAAATATCTGCATTAAATTTCCGTGCATTTCTCTTTGTTTCTTTGTAATTGGGATGCAATAAAGATTGAATTTATGTAAACGATTCTATTTGAACATTTGTAGATGATTGCAACACTTTGATGCTACTGCATAATTACTCAAGAGCAAGGAGGAGGGGATGACTGTTCTCTCTTCAAAACATATATATAGTGTAAAAAAAAAAACATTAATTTGGTTTTTCGATTTTCACCGAACCCAAAAAATAGAAAACCGAACCGAACTCGAAAACCGAAATAATTCCAGTTCGGTTTTTATTTTTTAAATTTCACAAAAAAAAGGAACCGAAATTGACATTTTGGTTCGGTTCGATTCAGTTTTTCGATTAAAACCGAATAGTGAACGCCCCTATTAAGAATTGATTTTGTTCAATTTTTTTCTAGCTAAATGTAACAAAAATAAATGAAAAGAGATCATACAATGGTACAACCATCTTTCACATAACTTGAGCCTAACCTGCAAATATGACACTGAGACAGAATCAGTCTCTGGAGAGATGTCTGCTAAAATATCCTCCATTGCACGAACCATAATCCCACGAGAAGATGTATCATCATCTCCCAGGTGTCCAAGCGTAAAAGTTTTCCCGGTACCAGTCTGACCGTAAGCCATGACTGTCCCATTGTAACCATCTAGAACACTCTACAAAATAGAAAACTCACATCAGTAAAAATTTTAAATAAAACCCAACAAATCACCTATGAACATCCAGCATGGCTTTATAACCCATACAAACAAAACGGAAGTTAGCAACAAGGTTCAAGGATATTAGAATATGCCTAGCACATAATGTTTAGTGACAATACGGCAGCAGCATTGTTGCTCACTTCAGCAATGTATACAATAAATAGACCTAAAGTAACCAACCTCAACAACAGGCTTAGCAACAACTTCATAAACACGCTTCTGCGACGCAAATTCAGTGAGCACATCATCAAACTCATAGGTATCCGCATCCCAATTGTTTTTCCTAAGCTTCAACCTCTTGAGCTGGTATAGAACACAAGCCCCAAAAATCATTAGTAACGCCACAATCAAACTATAAAAATTTAGCCAAACTCAAAAACAATACTCTAATAATGACACATTTAAATCACCTCGGGCTGCAATTCAACACAATCAGCAAAGTCCGCATCTGCTGCCAACTCCTCCGCATTTCGCGGCCGCAATCTCACCGCCACTCTAACTCTTCCCGGCACTGTCAAAACCATGAAGAATTTAATATCCACAGCACAGATTGACAATCTTTCACCACTGAAAGAAAGATCATTGAGAGGAAAAAAATAACCTAAAACCACTCTTAACACTTTCTACTAGAGATCGACAAGCTTATTAGTCAAAATGTAGTAATAGGGAAAAAAAAAGAAAAAAAAAAGAACTGACCTCCGTCGTCGGCGGTCGCGGCGGAGAAGGTTGATGGGAAGCTGCGGCGAAAAGCAGGAGGAGGAGCGTGAGAGGGATGGACTCTGGATTTGAAAGAGGAAGATTTGACATTTGAAGCAGGGAGAGGTTTGAGTGGTCTTTGAGCGCCGTTGCTGCCATTTCGAAAAGCAGTATTACTTGACGATGATGCCATGTGATAGTTACTTATCCTTTTCAAACACTTCTGTAACTAATGTTGTCTTCCGTTAATTAGTTGTCGTTGTTGTTCTGGGCTGAGTGGAGGAGAGAACAGACAGAGAGGGGTTGATGTCCGGCTGTGGAGGTGGGATTTTAGGGGTTTCGGTGGATTTGAAGTTCAAACAAAAGAATGATGGAGTATGGGGTCCACTTTTTGTCCAAGGGAGTTGCAAAAGACAGAGGACGGTCATAGTGGGTTAATGGGACCTACGCCCAGTAATTCGATTTTTGCGATTTTTGTTTTTCGAAAATCGACAAATCCTTTTTGAGATCATGTATGTGTTCTTGTTAAATTCAAAACTAAAATCCATGTAAATAATTTTGCAAATTCGATTTTATATTCGTTATGTTTAGATAGTTAGATTTAATTATTTTTAATTTTTAACAAGCATTCAAAAATTTACTAATATAAAACATATTAGCTATGCGACACGTAATTTTGATTATAATGTTATATCTTAATTTAAAAAAGAAAATCATTGTTATTTTTTTAAAAAATGAATTAAACTAATATGGGATCCGTAACTCTTTCACAGCCATAGCTTCATATTGTATATTAAAAAGAAAAGTAAAACACATTAATTTTGTTTTAGGTTTCATATTTAATAAATCTGTTTTTTCTTATAAACTTAGTTTTTAAATGTATCTTAAAAATCGAGAATAAATTACTTAAATGTGAAGAGCATAGAATCAAATTCATCAAATTATTTATATAGAGTTTAATTTATTAATTTGATACAAACACAAGGTCTCAAAACCATTTTTCTTTAAACTTGAAGCTTTTTTTTTATTTTTCTTTTTACTTTAATTTGAAGTTTAAATTTTTCTTCTAGAAGGATGAGAAATCTATGTGTAACATCAAAGAAATCTTGTTTAAGTGGTAAAAGTTTTAATTTATCAGTTTCTATCAAGTCGTGCAGGAAGACTTTAGTTTGGATTTTTTAGTAATTTACTAAAGATTTGATTGGAAAGAAGTTTAATTTTGATATTCATACATTGATTTGTCTAATCATAAGATTACAAAGAGAGCAAAAAAATCTATAAATTTGAGAGTAAATTGAATGTAATTTAGATTTTAGAAAATGTACTTTTCTAACGAAGATACTCCTCATTCCAGGACTTTACAAAAATACTGGAACACAATTTTATTTTATTTTATTTTTAAATGGAATTGTTATAATCCATCACTTTGCTTCAAGATACAGGTTTAATTAAATTGAATTTTTTAGTCATTTGGATAAGGAAAATGTTTAGATTTTTTTTTCACCCGTTACTTGGAAAATTCAAATTCTAAAGGATAATTTTGGCTCGTTCCACTGATGACAGCGCACAAATTATAATTCTTAAGAAAACGAATTCGGTGTCTAGTCACCATCTAATTGCAAAATACACAATTTTCAGGAACAAGACGTTGAGAGCCAATGATTAATTTATACACCTTGCATAGCTAGTTACATGAAAACAAAAAGATAACCCACGAAATGTTTGAATATGAGCTCAAAATTAGAACTGATAAATAAAAAATTATTTCGAATAATGTTGTGGTAAATAATGAAAATCACAGGATGCTCATTACCAGGTCATGAGTCCGGCACCCTGGCCCCTTCGATTTTACGATTTTGTGTAAGAAAAGTAGTTTTTTCTTTTTCCCTTTCCCCTGTAATTTTATGTTTTCTTTCCAGAGGAGGAGAGATCTGTGTGTTAAATGGAAGAAATCTACAATCATATTGATGGTTAAGTCATGCAACATTAGGATTTAAATTTTAAACTACTCTGCTTCTGATTTTAAAAGGTAAATTTATCTTAGTAGGTGTGCGCTGATGGAATACAATTTTGTAATGTTTTGAATTAAAATATAATTTGTTGTAGTAGATAATAATACTCAAACATGTTGGACTATATATATATATATATATCTTCGATTCCACCGCTTCTCAAATATAAATAAATAACAAAACAAAACAAAAAAATCCAAAGAGTTAGAATTTGGCTCATTCTGTAAATTGAAATCATTCAAGTTGGAAAAAATTGTCTAGTCACCAACCAATTGCAAAATATAGTCGAACCCCACGAGCAAAATAAACGAACCCTAATCTTAATGTGTAAAACTTATAATAATGCGAAAACAAGGAGTAGTATAAAGAGAAACCGTGCATCGATTCAGCTTCAAACTGGATTTACAGTGTAAATAATTTTGATAATATAGATTGAAATATGGTTTTTGGTGGGTGGTGTACTATTTTTACCTTAACTCGTTAATAGGTACCTATCGATGAATTAACCTATCATATTCTATAGCAATATCGTAGCTTTGCCGATGCTGTATATTTACAAACCTTGTCCACTAACTAGGAGCGAAAAGGTACCGTATTTTGATTCATTGAAAAATGTTTTTTCTCGAAAATCTTAAAAAATACTGAAGGATGTCTGAATTTGAGCTCAAATCAGAGGACGAAATGAATAAAATGATAATTCGAATAACAGAGCGGTAAATAATGAAAATCGCATGATGCCATTTAGCTGTAGCTGATTGACCTTTATTGTTTGTTTTCGACCAATTTGTCTCACAATTAAAGAAACTACAGTTAGAAGTGTCGTGCAGTTTTAAGACCTCCCTCGTGACCTCCCTAAATACGCGGACTAATCAGTGTAGTACACCAACGGGGCATTACATACGGGACAGAAGAAAGAAACTGTCTGGGATGGCTTCCCCGTCTTCTCAATGCATTTCTGCCTGCCTGCACGATTCAACCTTGTTAAGTGGGAGGTGGCGAACGAGGTTCATGTCCTATATGCATGACAAGATGGGAACGTGTCTTGTTGCATTAGAATCCTAGCTAGAACAAGAACAAAAACTAGAGTTATATATATGTATATACCCACGGTCCAAAGGTGCCGCTATCAAGTAACATGCTTGCATGTAAAACAGTCCATCACCGTCCCGTTTGCTTAAATATTTTTCAAAAATTGCTCCCTTCTTGGAGTTTATTACAGAACGACACGTGAACTAAAACATTAATTTCAATGTATGGTATTGTTAATTGAGGCACGGGTCCTATGTATGGTGGTGTTGAAGTAACTTAATAGGATCATTGATGCTAAAAAATCTACCAACAATTCAAAGTCATACATGTTTTATGATGATATTGTAGTGCGCATAATTCTTATCCTACAATCATATTTTATGAATATATTTACCTTGTTACTTTGCAAGAAAAAACAAATTCATTGCCATCCCGTGAAAGTTTTGTGCTGGGAAGAGCAGGAAAAAAAAAAAAAGAGTCGGGGTGAGTCCAATAGGATGCTGAAGCATTCGAGGGATTTCTATTTTTACAACATCATTTTAATGTTAATTAATATTATACTCAAACATGCAAATTCCAAGCTAGTGAGCAATGGGCTGGCGTCCCCGGCTGACGGGCTCTCGAATGACCCACATGTTCCCACAATTTCGAGTTGGATGTTAGAAAATTAGGAGAACATTAATGCCCTGACATTGTGTAGTTGTGCCTTTATTACGAGTCAAAGCCCGCTTTATTCGGGTCTTTGAATACTCCCTCTCTGTTTCTTTGGATTTTCAGCCTTTCTAGTCATGGGTTAATAACCACGATGTGGCCCAGTTTCATATGGGCATCTCACCATAAGGATAAAAAAATATTTAGTACTGTACTGATTATGGACCCTGGGTTTGGAGTCTATCATGAAGTCAAAAAATTCCAACTATGCAAACACCTACCTTTCGGAGAACTTCAAAAGTGCCCCCAGCTACACACACGGTCACGGGGTTAATCGCATTCAACGTCTTTCTATTATTTTGATTTTTTTTTTAATGTAATTTTGTATTTTTTTATTCAATCTCTCCTTGTATTTTTTTAATTTTTTAATGTTGCCCCTCAAACTGTTTTTCAGCTAATTTTTCAATTAAAATTGATAGTTGGCATAAAAAATTTCACGTGGTATGACACGTCCAATTAATTTATCATGTGAAAAAAAAAAGAAAAAAAATAAATAAATTTTAACAAATTCACTAAAAATGAAAGAAAAAAAAAGCCGTCCTCTCTCTCTCTCTGCAATTCTTTTGTAGATCTATTTGAGGAATCTCTCTTTACCTTCTAAAGCCTCCTCTATAAATTCTTTCTACTCTAATTCTACTAAATGCCAAAAATGTGTGCGTGTGGGTTTCGTGATTTAAGAAATAAGTATACATATTTTTTTTGTTTTTTAAGATACATTTTATCCATTTATTTATCCGGGTCTTTCACCATGAAGTTAATTTTTGGAAAACTTAGGATGCTTAAATCTTCAATTATGTTGTTTGTTCAAAAGGATATTTATTAAGAGATTGTTTATTTGTTTTGATGGTTTCGTGTCGATGAAGTATGGTGTTAGTTTTTGGTGTTGAATTTTGATTGTATAAGAGGAGGGATTGCCATCTTTTTTTTTTCTTTTCTTTTCTTCTTCGTCTTTTTAGATAGGCAACAACAAAGCACCATTTTGGCCAACAATCGTATGTCCTAGGATGGAGATTTATGGCTTCGTTTTAAGGGTTGAACAAATTCAAGACTGAATTATTTTAAGATTTATGGTTTTCTTAAGGAAAAGACAAGAAATAAAGTGGTATTATATGGAGGGTGGAATCTTCTACATGTCTATATTATGTTTGTTTATTCCTAATATTTAATAAGCACGAGAACTTATTGCTAGTTTGCCAAACATTTTTGTTGACGATGTAATCTGCTAGTGTCGCTTCGAGCTACGGTATTTGTTAAAGAGAATACAACCATTAAGTTGAAGGAATATTAAGTAAGTTTGTTGAGAAGTTTCCGACAAGTCTAGAGTCATTTTTCTTGCAATAACACAAATTGCTACTATTACCGGCCATCCCCAAATTTTAACGGACTTCATATCCATGATAAATGATAGGTTAATTGGTTTGATGGTATCATATATTATGCATCGATAGTAGATCGATATCCTAAACTAAAAATTTTTCGGTTCGAGTACCATAACTATTTTTTTATTAGTAATCAAATTCGTTCTAAATACATTTTTCACATATGATGTTGATATGATCCAATAATAAAAAACGCATGGATCCTTTATCGGGAGTATCTTTGTTTCAACCAATATGACCTTGTAAAATTATAAAATACCCATTACCCCTAAATCAAACCAAGGTTCCTTCTCTCTCTCTCTCTCCCCCTCTAAAAGATCTACCAAACAGATCATGGTGCTTGATACTTGCCGACACCCATAATTCTCTATCTTGGAAAAAATCTCTAAACCATCATCTACAAATCCCTTATGCACACAAGCTGAGAGATTAGACAAAAATATTATCTCATCATGCTTTTCATTAGACTCTTTCATTCTTTTGCCAAACTCTAAAGCCTCTTTGCTTTGCCCATGAATAAGCAAAACTAGATATCATAAAATTCCAGTAGGCATTATTTTTATTGGTCATCTATTCAAAGATCAATCGTTCATCACTTAAATCCCCACATTTTGCATACATATCCACTAATGCATTCATAACAAACTTGTTGAGCTTTATCTCTTTTGCATATATCATCTTATGGACATCTTTACCAACATGCAATAGACTCGACCGAGCACAACTAGATAAAACCCTAACAATCGTGACTTCATCGACCTTATAACCCTCATTTTGCATCTTGCCAAATGCATCTAAAGCTTTCTCATAAAACCTATTTTTCGTGTAACCATAAATCAAAGAATTCTAAAATTAGATATGGCCCGCAAAAACACAAGGCCTTTGTTGACCGAAGAAATTGGTTGCTAGGGATTCAATGCATAAAGAAGCATTGTGATGATTGAAGACATGAGAGAATTAAGGATGAAAAGAAAAAAAATGAAGGAAAAAAAATTTGATAATTTAATTTAAGTATGAATTTTTTGATCATTTCATTATTACATGTATGCCACATATGTTCGAAATTTGGTCAATATGATCGATGGACTCGATTATAAATTTTAGCACCCAAAATTTTCTTTAAAAATAAGAAAAAAAGGAAAGAAAAGGGATTAAAAAAATATATAATCGAGGGATACGATTGAAAAACGAGAGAGAGAAATGGCCAAAATAAAACGAGTTAGCGAGATGAGAGACCAAATCAAACTTTAGCTAAAAACCTTAAAAACCACTTTTTCTCAAAAAGTGAGGACTACTATTCATCTTCTCTAAAAACAACCCTAGCCGCTAGCCTCTACCCACAACCACACCAAACACGCAGACTCGCCCTTGCCATAACTCGTCGACGCTAGACCACCACTCATGTCTCCACCGACCATGGCCCTAGCCCCTCTCTCCATGCCACACACGACTGTCGCTATCGCGGCACCGACTCGCTGCAGTAGCCTCTAGCGCACGACCTGACCTTTTAGCATTCACCCACGTATACGAGCAGTGCCACGGCTAACCCCTCCCCCAAGCTACCTCTCGCCCAAGCATAAGCACCCCACACGACCCCTCTGCGCAAGCCTTTCTCTTGCGTGCAACAAATTCTTTGCCGGGCTCACTCCTCGCGTGTGCACCCTCGCGAACGCTCCAGCCCACTAGCGCACGCCCTCCCATAGCGACTCACCCGTACGTCTCGCGAGCTAGTTCGCATGTCCAACCGGCCGCTTACACTCGCCGACCAATGCCATCCCCTATGCCAGCCAGGTGTCGGCACTAGCGTTTGCCCATCGGCGTCCGCCGGTAGCCTCGCGGCGCGCACAGCGACCACCGAGTCGGACATTTCGGATCTAACGGTCGCCACTCCTAGTCGTCTTTCCTCTTTAGTTGATTGAATATCGGTCTCCATTGGGGTTGAAAAGAGTCCGAGCGATCCCAAATTCAACCGACCGATCCGCCTCCTTTGTTTTTTTACGGTAATCTTTTCTTCGCCTTTTATTTTACTTTATTTTATTTTTATTTTAACATATATTATATATGATTCATACCATCGTGTGCTCGTAATTAAATAACCGTGTTGTACAAATTAGCTTAATTTGTTATCACATGTGATGTATTTGAGTTGTGATAATGCACATTGTTGTTGTGTTCGCGATTTGATGAACGATGTCTTGGGTTGAACGTTTAGATACTTGCTATGTGAAATGTATGTTTTTAGAGTACGTCTTGTATGGTAATTTTATTAAAAAAACACAACGTTGAATCAAACGAGTTTGGAATTTTTCCATGTAAATCTATTCATCAAACATAATTAATTATATACATCAAGACAACTAATTCCATTGATTTTTCCGTTATTTGTCAATTTTTGTTCGATTGCCAATTTTCATCGATTTTTGCCTTAATTGTCGATTCGTTGCCTATGATTGCCTAAATTGTCGATTTTTACTTATTTTTGCCTTAACTATCGATTTTTTCCTATGATCACTTGAATTATTGATTTTTACTTATTTTGGTCTTAATTGTCGATTTTTATCTATGATCGCCTAAATTGCCAATATTTATTTATTTTTATCTTGATTGTTGATTTTTGCCTATGATTGCATGAGTTACCGATTTTTACTTATTTTTGTCTTACTTGTTGATTTTTATCAAATTGTTGATTTTTGTTGTTTTTGCCAACTTGTCGATTTTTGCCTATTTGTCGATTTCACATATTTATCGATTTTTGCCTAATTGTCTATCCGTCGATTTTGCCAATTTGCTTATTTTACTAATTTATTGATTTTTTCATTGTTTATATGTTTGTCTATTTTTGCCAATTTTGTCAATTTTGTCGGTTTCGCCAATCTGCCTATTTTGTCTCGTTTGCCTATTTACCTATTATTTTAAGTTTTGTTTTCATGCACGTTGTCTAAATTGTATTAGTTGCACATCCTTGCATTCATTATTTTTTAGCCATCCATTATAGAGTGAGGATAAAGTCTCCGATCGGTTAAGTCCCAAATCACTTAACTAGTGGGCAAATGCTTGAAAAATAGGTACGGTCTTTCATCATTTAAAATTAGAAATCAAGTCGGTTTCTAAGTAATGTAGCTTACCTTAGGGAGGATGAGGTAGGGTGATCTTTAATCTTTCATACATGTAATAAACCCCTTATCACTCCGAACGGACTAGTCATAGGGTTTTCTAGTAACCATAATACTAGGCGGCGACTCCAATCATCTTTGCTAATTTTCCCTATTTTCACCTCAACTCGTCTCCCCGTGACGAGAAAATAAAAAATAATTCTTATAATCGAATTGAACAAGTTTTAGTTCGAAGTACCAATCTATGATCAAGCATAATTCATGATACTATCGAGCGATTAGCCTAAATGATATTCGACACATGCCTTCTATTATTACAACTCTAATTGCCCTTAATGAGCATACTGGAGATGTTGATAATGCATCTATCGTGCTTGACTTTACAATCAAACGAGTGTTCGAATACAATGACTAAGGCAATAAGTTGAATCTTACAATGCAAGAGCCTACTTCCTTTTAAGGTCGGACATGATAAAGAGAAAGAAGTTGTTCGCATGTATGAGGAGCTTGTCAAAAACCGGGGAGCATAGAGGTATAGTCGAGTTGGCAAATGTAGTTGCCCGAATGGATGTCGACAAGGCAAAAGCCTACGAAAAGAAGCTAAAACCATTGCTAGGTTTCAAGGGATTGATATGGATAGTTTAGAGAAGACTTTTAGGGCTAAGCATGTTGAAGGTGCTACTGTTGCAGATTCATCGAAGCATGTGAGGAAGGTAAGAAGGGAAGCCTAAGGAAAAAAAGAGTAAGCCAAGTATCCAAAAGGGTTTGATCTTTCTAATTCAAGCTCTCTTCCGAATCTAAAAAGATGTTTTCCTAAGAGAGAGAGAGAGAGAGAGATCGCAAGCAAATGTATATTTATCACAATTTACATTTAAAATCTCACTAAAATGGAGATGATGATTTTTGATTAATTGATTGTCCTCTTACTTACCATGAGCATGTAATTTGTAGAATATTCAAAGATTTTTTTGACACTAGGCTTTAGAGAGAGAAGGAAAAAAATGAAGAGATGAGTTTTTTTGTGTTTTTATTTTTTGTAAATTTTATTGAAATTTTAATTTTAATTTTTTTTCATGTAGCAAATTAGTATGATGCGCCATATCACGTGAAATTGTAAATGCCATCCTTCAATTTAATAAAAACAATTGGCCAAAAAACAATCAAAAGGGTCCCGTTAAGAAAAATTAAAAAGTATATAGAGGTGTTAAATAAAAAAAATAAAATACAAATGCCATATTAAGAAAAAAAAATATAGGGACATTTGATGTGATTCACCCCATAATCTTATGTACATATTTGGATGAACCTCAAAAGTAGCCTCAATTTTAATTGTATTTTTTATATTTATTTTATTTCCTACAATTTTAAACATTACCAATTAAATATTTTCATCCATATTTGAATTTAGATTATGTGTTTTTTAATTATATATGTGTGTGTGTAAAAAATATTTATTAATAAATTAAATTATGAAAAAACCTTAAATTGAGAAATTAAAAATATTTATAGATAAAATTGATAAAATAATTCATTTCGGAGTAAAATCGATGCTTTGGGAGACATTTATAATATTTTCATGTGTTTTTTTAACTATACATAATTAGTCGATTGTTTGGGCTATGTTGGGAATCGAGCGGAAGCGAGACTTATCTTAGTTTGATAGTTAACGCTATGTTGTGGGTCTATAAAACCATATTGAATCAATGATTTAAAAAAAACCAATAAATTTTATAATTTTTAATTAGGATTTTGTATTTAATTAGATTTTCTTTAGGTTTTCATAGTTTTTCAACTAAAAAAAGCATAACTCATTTTTTTTATGCATTGATTCTTAAATAAAAAATTACAATAATTTAAAATAAAGATTTAATTTAAAATTCCAAAACATGCTATAAAAATATATTTTCATCGAATCGTATTAAAAATTTTCTTTTATTTTTGTTTAACACCGACATGAATATTATTTTTTTTTGAAAATATGTACATTTGATTTATATATATTTAGTCACAAAATATTTGATAATGTTAGCATTAAAAACTACATTTGAATCACTAGGTGATTCTTTTAACAATTTAATTTAATTATTTTATTTCAAAGAAAGTTAGTTTTATGATATTAAAAAAAAAAACCAATAACAAATAGTTGGTGAATTGGTGTTATGTATGTAGATGTATATTTAATTTTTCATAAAATTTGTGATTTAACTAATTTATTTATTTTTTACATTATGACTATATTTAGTGGGTTGAAAGGGTGAAAAATAAATCGATTTATAGAGAGAGAGAGAGAGAGAGATGATTGAAAATACACTTTTTACCTTTGAATTAAATATATATTTATAATCATGCCATTATCACTTGAAAGTTTTAAAAGTCCATGGTATGAATTATATCAATTTATTTTTTAAGAAAGTAAAACCAATCATGTTCTAAAATTTTATTCTAAAGTCTATGTGAAAAAAAAAATCATATTTATCAACAAAATAAAATTTTATATATAAAAAAATTCACTGGATGAGAATTTTCATTAAAATGACAAATTAAAAAAATAAAATTTAAATAATAAGAGTAATATAATCCGAAATATATATTTATTTAAAATATGAAAAGATATATATATATATATATATATATATATATATATATATATTTCATCCTCGCCAAGTTACATTGTAAAATAACAATAACATTCGATATTTCCTAATTTTTGTCTAAAAAATCTCAATAAAAAAATAAATTATTGAAAAAAAAAAGACTAAGGCACGAGCCTCTCATGCTTGGGCTTGGTTTAAGGCTCATGCATTTGAGTTTCGTTCCAAGCCCGCTTGCTTTCATCTGGTTCCAGGCCACACAAGCCATAATTTCTTTTTTTATTGTTAAAAAGAAAAGCATATCATGGACAATCATTGTCCACTGTTTTTTTGCCTAAAAAACCTCAAAAAAAAAAAAAAAAAAAGAGAAAAGAAACAAGGTCTATAAATTTCTTTGGAGTCTCAGATTCTATTTCAATGCATTCAAAATTCATAAAATCGCAAATTAAACTAAAAAAACTCAAAATACTTCAAAACTCTAATCTATCTATTATAACCATTTGAAGATTTGTGATCCCATAAATAAATTCTATTCTCCAAGATAAATAAATTGAAGATAATTTTGAAAGTTAAGGTGGCTGAAATGAACTTCATTATTTATCTCTTTCTCTTCCTTTCTCTCTTCCCTCTTGGTAGGGACGGACCAAAACATAATAAAAATAAGCTTTGGGATTGAAACTTCTTTTTAAAAGGGGACTAAAATGTAATGTTTTTGGCAAAACAAAATAAAAACGAAGGAAGCCCTTGAATTACGAGGGGCTCCTTTAATAAAAACATAGAATTGAGGGGAAAAAAAGCAATAAAATACTGGAGCATTAGATGCTTTGTCTGAAAAAAAAAAAAAGACCAAGAAAGGCTGAATAAGCAAATTAAAAACATAATTATTAATAATAAATTTTATATTACTCATTGAATAATTATTAATAATTATTCTAAAAAGAAAGATAGATACAAGAAATACAAAGATAAAAGAAAGATTATTAATAATTAATTTTATGGGTCCCTTCAACTCAATATGAAATTAATGTCTTCCACACACCATACGACAATATATATAAAGACATATATTTTGTGTTTCAAGAAATCTGAACACTTGAAATACATGATTTTTTTTTAAAAAAAAAAATGCCCCCAAATAAATGCATGTATTTATGATTTACAACTGTTAGGGTGGAATGGAGGAGCTTTTTTTGTTGACCAGTTCTATAAAAATTGGTGGTCGTAGCTTTTCATGTTTATTGCTACATATATTTCTAACAATAGAAGGACATAGTGACATGATAAAAATTACGAGTAAAATAGAAGGACATTTATACGAAAAGCAAAAAAAGGAAAGAAACAAAAACAGTCTGAAAAAAAAAAAAACCCTGATGTATGCTGTTTGTTCATAGGACAATAGAGTTGTGATGAACAATTGAATGAATAGCAAACATCCCACTTTTTTTTTTAATTTGTTTTGGGAATGACATTATTAATAGACATAAAATAGAGGTTTTTGTTTTAATAAAAACAAATTCCTTAAACCATTAAAAAACGGATAGTTTGTGATGAAATCATTATATTAGTGGTCAATTTTGTTTTTAGTTCATGAGTAAAAGAGTTATCGGATCAGATTTTATTTACTTTAAGACTAATTTCTTTCGAACGTAATTAAAAAACATTTTATAATGCACGATTTTAAATATTTTGAAAATAAATTCTAAAAAATATAAACTATAAGAATCAAATTTTAAATTTAATCTATAAATTAATGTTTGTTTTCCAACGATATATCACATTGTAGTTGTATTAACGGTCAATATTGCATGACAGATACACACAAAGTATTTTTTGTGTGATTTTTAAACCTGAGTTCGAGCAGTCTTGAAAGAAAAGTTTAAAAACAAAGACTTCTAAATTCTTAAATAAAAGAAAGTCAACATCTAAATTTCTTGGCAAATGACCATCAACCACCGAAAATAGCGATAGTCCCTTTTATTGAAAAGTCATGTAACAGCCGGCGTGGAGAAATTCGATTGTAGAAATAATCGGTGCTTGTGGAAAACTTGAGACGACCGCGTTTTTTTTAGTAATTAGCTGAGTGGACTTGACTGGATTGCAATTTGCACTGACTTCTCCTAGTACTGCCACAGATCCTGTTTTTATTCCAAAAAACATAATAGTAGAAAATTATGGAGTGGTTAACATTAAAAAAACGAGACTGTGCACAATTAGAGTAACCATTGTAATAACTTTCTCTTAGAAAGGGACTGTGCAGTCAGAAAAAACCATTGCATTTCTTAATCTCTAATTTTAATTGTAACAAGGATTTATGCTATTTTTTTTTACTCACATCATGCTATTAACATAATTAATCTGTTAGAATTTAAATTCATAAATTTTTATTATAAAATATTTTTATCACAAAGAATTATACCAAGCCATACATAATTTTCATATCAATAATATTTTTCTTTTTTCCTCGAGAAAAAGAAAAGACAATCAAGTTATTAACATAAAAAAAGGCATTATATCAGCTGCCAAACACACAACATATCTATAAAACTCCTCCTTGCATTGATAGGTATAGAAACTTAAGAAATCCAAGTGACATTAGCATTATAGTAAAATATCAAATACGTAAGAAAACTCGAACTCAAATACCGAATGACTAAACAATTTGTTTCCATTAATCAATTAATAATCACATCAAAACGTTTTTATTTTTACTTTTTAAAAAGTTTTAACACTCTCCATAAATTATGTGCTTATAATTTATTTTTTTTAACAAAAAGAAAAACCTAGAAAAACTAACCAATTAAAAACGGATTAGTGTTGGAATTCAAATCGCCAGCTGTCATTTCACAAATGAGGAAGCCCACCCTCAAAAACCCTAAGAAACAAACACCCATGGGCCATCATACTCCTCCTGCACAGCCTCCACTCCATAACACTAACAACCTCCATTCTTATCTCCGTCGGAGCCTGACGTCATGACCGCCCTCTACCGCCGCAGCTCCACCGCACTCCTTCAAACCACCTCCATCACCACCATTTCAACTATTATTACCGCCAGTACCATTCACTGAAATCCCAACTCTGTCTCTTCACTTTTAATCATACATTGAAAAAAAAAATCACTTTCAAATTTCAATAAACAACAATAAGAAAGAAGCTAAAAAAATGGCCGCTATGAAAAGCTATAGTGTGGGCTTGAGGGAGTCTGCTCTCCAGTTTCCGCGTCATAATTGCGCTAATAAGTACAAAAGGTTTATCGGATTCTCTTATTTATTATTTTATTAATTTTGTTTTTGCCGTTGCGCGTGGCCGTGGCAGTGTATATTATTGTTTTTTTTCCTTGTTTGGTATGGAACAGGAGTGGGAAATGGAGGCCTCCACAAGCTGCTGTAATACCAAATTTTCATCTCCCAATGCGTAGTTTTGAAGTTAAAAACAGGTAAGAAATTGGTGTTATGTATGTTTTTTGTGATTATAATTGTCTCTAGCGTTTTTTGTTGAAAAAGAATTTATTGCAAATGCAGCAAGCAAGATAAAAACTCAGAAAATAAAATACACCCATTTATTATTGGTTCTTCTGTTAGCATTATGATCCATGAGTCTAACCCATATAGTCTTACAAATTTACAGACTCAGAGCTGGAGGTAATAGTCAACATGGTAAAATCTGGGGCAATACATGTAATTGTAACTGTGTAAATGGATTCTTACCGTTTCTGCATTTGATACTTTATGCCAAAGTTGAAATGAAGCAGTTGTGTCTAGAATTATGGATGTCTTGGACGTGCTTGGTTTATACTAGGCATATGATGATGAAAAACTTTCCGACCTTGATTTTGATGCTTGATTGAAATCACTTCAATAACATGGTATAAACTGGATAATTAGCATACATTGCAAACACACAGGACCTGGGATTGATATTATTAATTCAAACAATTTAGACATCAATTGTTCTGAATGATCACTTTTTTTATAAAGATTCTAAACTGTATGTTGACCCCATTATTCAGGTAGTATATTCTGATCAAGGGGAAAATATTTTTGTTTGAATGCTTTGCTTTGGCTTTTAAATGGTGGTGCTCGACAAGAACAAATCATGCATGCAGGCTAATGTTTGCTTGACTTCATTTTCTGCAAAAAAAGCAATGTTATTTTGAACTAGTTAAACTTTGTATCCGGGTCACCATGGGTGTGGGCTGTTGAAAACAAAGGCTCCATGGGCATATAAATGTTTCCTTTCAAGAATTGACACCGCAAATGATGTGTTTTCTTTTCCATTGCAGGACATCAGCAGAGGATATAAGATCTCTTAGATTGATAACAGCCATCAAAACCCCATATCTGCCTGATGGTCGATTTGATCTCGAAGCATATGATGCATTGGTGAATATGCAGATTGTTAACGGTGCTGAAGGTGTGATTGTTGGCGGCACAACTGGTGAAGGCCAGCTTATGAGCTGGGATGAACACATAATGCTTATTGGCCACACTGTTAACTGTTTTGGTACTTCGGTCAAGGTGATTGGAAACACTGGAAGCAACTCTACAAGGGAAGCAATTCATGCCACAGAGCAAGGTTTTGCAGTTGGAATGCATGCTGCTCTTCATATCAATCCATACTATGGCAAAACCTCTGTGGAGGGCATGGTTTCTCATTTTGACAGTGTGCTACCTATGGGTCCCACTATTATATACAATGTGCCTGGCAGAACTGGCCAAGATATTCCCCCACGCGTTATTCATACTATAGCACAGAGTTCGAACTTGGCAGGTGTTAAGGAATGTGTTGGTAATGATCGGGTTGAACAGTATACAGATAAAGGAATTGTGGTGTGGAGTGGGAATGATGATGAATGCCATGATGCTAGATGGAACCATGGGGCTACTGGAGTGATTTCTGTTGCTAGCAACTTGGTTCCAGGTTTAATGCGGAAACTCATGTTTGAGGGGAAGAATACTGAACTAAATTCAAAACTCCTGCCGCTTATCGACTGGCTATTTCAGGAGCCAAACCCCATTGCATTAAACACAGCTCTTGCTCAACTTGGGGTTGTAAGACCAGTTTTCAGACTGCCATATGTGCCTCTTCCTCTGGCCAAGAGGGTAGAGTTTGTGAATTTGGTTAAGAAAATTGGTCGGGAGAATTTTGTAGGAGAAAAAGATGTTCAGGTTCTTGATGATGATGACTTCATCTTGATCGGTCGGTATTAGTCAGTTTCTCTTGTTGAGACTGCTAGTGTGGGAACGCCAATCACTAGTTCAGGTTTTATTTGCTTGTCCATTTCTCTTTAGTTATAAATAAGCTTCTTGATGTGTTGTTCAAATATGGCACATGAAAATGTTGTCTTAAACCTTCCTTGCTATTGTGTTTGCATAATTGCATGCGTGTAAGTTCTGTACATGGCTTGTTTGCTAGTTGCTTTGGCTACTTTTACCTGTTTGGAGTATGCATGCTGAACCTTCTTAAGAATTAAGAAGGGGAGAGTATTAGGTGGTGGGTTTTGGGTGAGTCGTGAATGGGGCTGATACGATTTGATTTCGCAAGCTGGCTCAAGCCCAAACTAGTGCATACCCAGGCCATTGTCTTTTTACGACAACAATAAAGGGATAAAGTTGCAAAGCGGGCATTTACTCCGTGTAGAATGAATAGACAATGAAAAATTGTTAGATTTCATTGGTTGGTCTTAACTAATCCTTCTGTTACACAGTTGTTAGAGCAGTGGATCTTAATAATTTGATCTGTTCGAATGGTAACAAGTTTCTTAGTTTCTCGAACCAAGCGCATCTTATTGGGCCTGTTCTATGGGCAATTTATTACATCCAAGTCCAACTTCTTTTGGAACGTGTGAAAGTTGGATGGTCTAATCTGTTACTCGAACCAAGCGCATCTTATTGGGCCTGTTCTATGGGCAATTTATTACATCCAAGTCCAACTTCTTTTGGAACGTGTGAAAGTTGGATGGTCTAATCTGTTAATGATTGCTGCAGAAATGGGCCAGGGAGCGAGTGGGGCAGAAATGCCTCGTTTCCATGGTTCCCTTTCACGTTGAAATGCTGGATGTTTCTACTTCTACATCTAGGCTGAATATTATTTTGTTGTTTCATGCTTTTGTTATGAGAAATTTTAGATGAATCTGTAGTTGAATACAATTTCATTGACTGTGTGCTAGACCCCGTTGTCACGACCAGTTGGTGCAGCAAAAAGTAAGTGTGTGATTGGTGAGGTTAAGGTTTTTGTAATGATGACTTTTGGGCTGATTGTTGCTTCTCATAACCTTTTCCTTCACTTCACAAGTTAGGCAACTTCAAGGGTTTAGGAGAGTTTTCTGGGCATCAACATGCACGGGTCTCGGGTCTGGAGAACTTAACCGTCTGCCCCTAAGAAACTTATCTGTCTCTGACCCAACTTACAAAGATGAACAACAGTAACCAAAAAAATCAAGGAAAAAAACCATCTAAAATTCTTAGCCACTCGATTCTAAATAATTAATTGATATTTCCCCACCATGTAGTTCCAAATTCCGCGTAATACATAAAATAAGACAATTACCTGGTTTATTCCCACCCCGATAATATTAATGAAACTACTACTAGCTTATTAGTAGTTAAAAATAAAAGAAGAAGAAAAGAATAAAGGACAAGGGGAGATGATAGAAAAAGATTTGAAGAAAGCGATACTCTTCCTTCCTATTAATCCTCTTGTACTTGATCTGCATATAATAACTTCTCCTATATAGATATATGGTCATATTAGTTGTCGTGAGACAAACTGTCATGAAGAGGATTAGAGCACTTCTTTTGGAGCAGATAAAACAAAGCTTGATTTTCTTGGTGTAGAAAAAAGCTTTCTTCCTAAGCTTCTCATTCTCTTCTATGATGCTTTTGTTCTCAATGTACAGTTTCAAGTTCTTGATTTCCATCTCTTTCTTTACCAGTACTGCCACCTTCTTCTCCTCTGTTTGTTTTGACAACCTTCTCCTCCTGTTACATCATACGGTATATATTTAACACCCAAATTTGAGATCGGGGAGAGAGAGAGAGAGAGGGGATGTAAGGAAACTAACCTGTTGAGCCTGTGATATCGAAGGTTGTGTCCTTTTGATGGCCGTTTATTGCTAAAAGCAATATACAAGGGACTGCATGGGCTTAGTTTTGAACAAGTACTGGTACACATTTTGTTTCCTTTTAAAGTTTAGGTTTTGCGTCACAGAGAAATTTGGGCTTGTTCTCTTTCTTGTAAAAAGGCACCCAAGAGAGGAAAAGGAGAGAAAAGATTAGAAGGAAGATGGGTTTGGGGGGTTGTAGTAGATGGTAGAAACTAAGAGAAATAAAATGTGGGTTATATAGATGGGGTAATGTGGTTGTGCTTCTATGCAGATATGAAAGAAAAAGAGAGAGAGGCTTTTCATGGTAATGATGGCATGAAGACTCATGATTACAAAGGCCAGCAATAGATGAGGAATGCAGAGAAGATGAAGGGGGAAAAAAGAAGGCTCTCCTTCTTTTCTTTGGCCTTTTTGATTACTATTTCAGAAAGTCTAAAGACTAATAAGCTGGTTGAATTGGTGGGGGCTTTTGTTGGGCACACAGAATAGGACTATACAATCTTAACAACTTGAGGTCACTTTTTTGAAATTTAGAACTTTCCCCTTCAGTTTCAACACTGTTGAACAGCTTTTGGTTACAGTTAGGATCCTAAGTTAGGCAAATGCTAATGCATACTATAAACCATTCCATCTGCTGTAATGATGGGCATCATTAAGGTGAATATTAAATTTTGGAATTCAAACTAAGGCAGATTATCCAGGTTCACATGCATAATTAGGGTGAAAAATGCCTCCAGTCCTCCACCACCTATCACTGAAAACATGAAACAGATGATGGCTTCCTAGGGTGTAAATAAATGGATAATCATCCCCTCAGTAGATGGCAAAAATCCAGTACTAGTTAGTAGTCATAAAAATAAGACACCTCTGGTTTTGCTTTGCTGTAAGATCTTAAGTAGCTTTGCTTGCTGTGTTGTTATCTCATCTTCAAATTGAAAAGAAGGTCACTTGAAACGAAAATTTCTTGCATGTAAAAATGATCCGTCTGAACTGAATAAAAAAAAAAACATACTCTTTAACATATGAAAACTGAAAATATTATATATTATTTAAATAAAACTCAAAGGCAATGGTTGATAACACGTAAGTGCGGATTAAGTAATTAGTTTTTAACAAATTGAGCAGCTAGCAATGTTTGACAAGAACAAGAACAGCCACCAAAGAGTCAACACAGTAGATATCCATTAATAATTAGGTTCAGTATGCTGTCAAAAAAAAAAAAAATGATTTAGCGTGGGCCTGTAAAAAAGTATAGTGTGTGGGTCGGACCGGCTAGTCAAAAGTCATGAAAGCCGATGTTAATTTTATTAACCCATAACCTCCTTGATTAGGTGCTGCTTAGTGCATGCTAATTAATTAACATGTTTCTACATCAAATCTAAGAATTGCTAAAGCTTTCTTCTTCTTCTTCTTTTTTTTTTTTTTGAAAATTTACTTTTCACATACAATCTCAAAATTCAAATCTCAGTGATCAAGAAGGAAACACAGTCTCTTAGCAATCAAATTAATATGGTATTAAAATATTGTCACTTTGATCATATCCTAAAGAAGAAGATGTTTTAAAGCAGGGGTTTAAGTTAGTCAACAAGTCATGCCAAGCAATTTTGCCCATAACTTCCCTTGAGAATGTAAGAAGGCAGTGGTCAAAAAAGCTCCAAAAAAGTTTAATGTCTAAACGAATTCTTAGACATGTACAATGCGTATGAAAAAGTTTGTGCCTAAAAAGTAGGCACAACCTTTGCAATTGTCTTCTGCTTTTTTCAGTAGAAAATCCTTGCGTGTTAAACTCTCCAAATACTTTTTACAATAAATTGTCCAAGTTCAAACAAATCAAAAACTCCATTTTTCTCTTACCCATTATGCATAATCATTTGCATTAACGAGAAAACACGCACGAACAAAAATATTTAATTATCATGGAGCTGACTTAGATTGCATTGCACTGTTGTTAATTTTATTAGTCAGCGTGTCAGTCATTAAATTCATAAAAATTAACCAACTAGCTGGAGCCACTTGTTCTACAATTACCAAACCCAAAATGGATCGGAATTGTTGCGTCTAGGATGCGAATACACCTCACTCATCTCCATTTATCATGGGAATATATATTTTTGAGGTTTGACTCGCCTGTTGAGTTGGTAGCATCTCCGAAGTTTTTGAAAATTTTCAATACATCCTTAATTAATTTTTAAGTTGTTCTTTAACCCCTAAAAAATTATACTTTTGTCTATACCTTAATTATCATATTATTTTAATTTTTAATTTGTCTCCTCTAATTTTATTTATTTTTTGTTCTACTCCTGAATTTTTGAGTACATAAAAAACTAGTCTAATCCGAAAATAACTTATTATTGCTAAAACCTAAAAAGCGATTAATTATACAATATGTGGTACATCAACTACTCGAATGCAACAAATGTCGTCCTTGTCCACTTCTCGTATTATTAAACTTACAAGATTTGTACGTACGTATAGGAACTTTGCTGTTCTATAAAAACGATTAACTTGAAGACAAATTAATCTCTGTTTAACGAACGAAGCAAGCTTTCTTCATAAAGTACTTCTTGGAAACTTCCTTGGCTTTGCCTTCCTTTAAAGCTAACCCTGACTTCCAAAGGTGAATTCACGTGTAACTCACGTGTGGGAACGCATTGTGGGGGCGGTAGGGAAGTAGCCAAGGAAATGACGGTGGGAAGGCAAAGGATATTACTAAATCGAGAAATTAAGAAGAGGGAGTAGGAGTAGTAGTAGTCAATGTGGTTAGGTTTTTCTTTTGTCCGTTTTCCTTGTGTAATTGAGTACCAATGCCATGCTCATTTATTTGGAAAATGAACCTCCATTGGCATTTTGGGCCTCATCTTCTCATCCACCATGATGATCATCACCACCTCTTCCCTCTCTCATCTATAAAATACTAGAAGTGTCATCATGATGATGATAGTGGTTTTTTGTCCAAGTCGAACGTGGTCTGAGCCACTTCACATGGTCTCTGAATTGCCAATTGGACACTTGGCTTAGTTAGCATGCCATCTAGTCCACATTGAACTAGGGATTAGATCATATGGTGCTAGCTATGTAGCTACAAGGCATCCATGGCACCAAAAA